TTCCCAATATTGTTCTGATCTTATTTTATGATCACCTATTACATGTTTTTGTAAATAACTTATCTAATGTGTTAATAAAATGCTCAAAATACAGCTGACCATCTTGCAAAAGCAGCTCTTCACAATCTCCGAGTTATGTTGCCATTGGCAGCTTGATTAGTGTCTAGGTCGTTTTCCGACGTGTTCACAGAGGAAGACTTGGTTCTAGTGTTTGCAGTTCGATTCTTGAGAGCTTCAGACGTTTGATTCCAACTTCATATCGACAGTTAATTCACCAGGTTTTTAACCTAAAAGTCCTTTCCATCGTGTTTTTTTTTCTCAGGTAAGGACTCATTGTAATAATTTATGATATTTGAAGCCTTGATATCGCTACGATGAGAACGATTTTGGTGCCACGCGCGTTCAAACTTCCAGCTCCAAGAACTTTTCGTTTGTTTTAATTTTAATGTAGCTCAATGATTCCTCTCGCATTAGTGCGGGTCCATGAGCTTTGTCTTTCTATTTCTTTCGCTTACAGCACAGCAAATAAGCTCACAATGTTTTATTCCAGTTGTAATAGATGCAAACATGAATATCAATGTAAAGACAGAACCACAAACTGTCAGTAACGACTGGTTCGCTTACCAAACTGATGCTGGAGTCACTCAGTCTCACTACAACTGCAGAACTGAAGAACACATATGGAATGTCTGTACTTGTTCATGCTTTCAAATGGTAAAAATATAATTATAGAGCGCAGGGTACAATATCAACAAATGACCACTGCGAACTGCTATGTGGCCCTATGTCAGCTATATGCTATCATTTGTTTGGGGAATATCAACTACATGTAGCTGGGAACAAATTTGAAAATTATGCCTGTCGGTAATGTGAATTCAAGCATTTTGAGGGGCCACGAGAAAATATTTTACGTAGTATTAAAATATTGGACAACACATTTCTGAATGTGATAATAAACGAGAACTGCGACATGGAATGTTAATACCGTGCCCATTTTGACCTTTGCAAAACAGTAATAACATTCGTATCAAATGATCTTCATGGTCTGCATGATAAATATCAATTTGGCGTTTTATAAAATGCTTTGAAACATTGATGTTGTAATGTTTTGGAAGCGCAGTACAGTAAAAACCCGCGTATAAGAACAAGTGGATTATGAACACTCAGGCCTGATTTTAGGAAATAAAGTACCATTTATATAAGAACACATTCAGCCTGAAAAATGAAAGTTGTTCCTATATGGAACTAGACGCTCTTGGAGCGTGAAGTCGGACTAGCTGTTTTTGAAAATTGGTCTAATAGCCTCTAGTTCAAAATATGCAAAATTTCTTGATCCAAAAGGTCATGTAATTGACACCGATATGAATGTAAAAGAGTCCTTGCTTTGACTGATAAAATCAAACATGGCAGACAACATGTCGCTAAGTGATATCATGATATATAACACGTTGACCTCCCAGGTGAAGAAAAATACTTATCAAAGTAAAAGATGCCTATAAAATCGCCTTTTGTTATTGATAAACAAAGTTTCTTCTTGTTCTAATTTGAAATCTTTGCCCACACAAGACTGTCTAACTCTAGAAAGTTTCGTAAGCATACTACTCGAAGCTCCATGCAATCTGCACATGCGCGTACTAGACAGATGCATTCCGATGAGATCAAAATACACAGATAGATAGATTGATTGATTTGCTAAAAGGTAAAACTCAAGTCGACCTAGCCTTCTCAAAGATCAACACTACTTTTCATTGCACACATAATAGTTTCATGGCAATTATATGTAACAAAATATTAAACAAAATAAAAATATGTACTGTTATATTGATTTCATCTATTGGTAGCCTAGTATGTTCCTTATTTTTAGAAACCTTTTTTAAGAACACTTAAGAACACTTACAGGCTGATTTTGCAGATTATAACCCTTTATATAAGAACCAAATCAGCCTGAGCCGCCAATATAGGTGTTCTTATACTCGGGTTTTTATTGTAGTCTAAGCCCTTGTCACACGCTACGATTTTGTCGTTCAATACATTTATTTGGCTTCAATTATTTGGAATAAATTTAAAGTCCACCTCACCCAATTTTTTTCATATTTGTAAAGAAAAGACTTTTGTCATAGTAACAACAATTTGTTCAAACAAATTTGATTTCGTTTATTTAAACTACATTTTGAAGCGAAAACAACCGCGGACAAAGCCAATTTCGGGATTCCTGTGTGCCTGATCAATGTCTTCGTGATGACGTAGAGGGAGTAAGTCGTTCGAGAAACAGTGATAGATACCTACAGTGAAATGACAGTAAAAATCAAATCTGAAACAAGAGAACCTGGAATTTGAACAGCTGTAAATACTACCTACATATATTGAAAGAAGTTACTTACCTGGGGCCGTAAATAACTTTTCCTGTTCCTCGATATTTATCTAGATCTATACGCAACACTTGTTTGTCCAGAATAATCTCTCAACACTTTGGCTCCATTTTTATAGCCAAGACATGAAATAACGTTCAAATCGTCAGAATAATCTCTAGTAGCATTAGATTTGCCGTTTCAGGCTGGAGTATCCCACGTTCAGTCATAGAAAACATAGATTTGTAATGAAATATGTGGAACTTGTACAGTAAACTTTGTATTTACCGAAGGACGAGTTACTCCATCTACGTCATCAACCCAGGCTCCCTCGCACTCGGCCAAAAATCATTTGGCCGAATTAAACGAGCATAAAAAATATAAAATTTGGAAATTCGAATTTTTTTTATGTGAATTTGTGGTTTATAACTCCTAAATTTTTTTTTCCAACTGTAAAAAAAATTGGGTGAGGTGGACTTTAAAGGCATCAGAAGCACATATTTGCAGATCGCATGCAGCATAGAGTGGTATGCTTACGAAACTGAATCAATGACCTTTCTAGCTTTAGATGTGTGGGCAAAGGCTTCAGATTAGAACAAGAAGAAACTCTGTTCAATAACAAAAAGGCAACTTCGATTATTTTATAGGCATCATTTATTTTGTATTTTTAGTCGGGCTAGCCGTAGGCTAGGTCGACTTTAGTTTTACCTTTTCGTCAATCTATGTATCTATGTATATGTCGAGTTTGGTCACCGGAAGTCTAAAGAATCGCATTGTTTTAGAACCAGAAATCGAACAACTTCAACTTGGATTCCTGTGTCATGAAGTCACATGACGTCGTGATCATGACATCATGATATTTATTAAGTACACTTACGTCATATAAGTCCGAGAGTCTACAGCACATCATCGTATGTATCACATTTTGCGCGACTTATATACTAATAAATTTGCTTACTAAGAACCATGTGGGAATGTGGTATCTGTGATCTCATCGGAATGCATCAGTCAAGGCATCAGAAGTACGCGCATGTGCGGATCGCATGGAGCTTCGAGAAGTATGCTTACGAAACTGAATCAATGAGCTTTCTAGCTTTAGACGGCCTTGTGTGGGCAAAGATCTCAAATTAGAACAAGAAGAAACTTTCTTTATCAATAACAAAAAGGTGACTTTAATTATTTTATAGGATCTTTTAAAAATATTTCTTTTCTTGGACTGAGAGGTCAATTTCATTAAAAGTATTAGATATCATGATATCGCTTAGCGACATTTAGTCTGCCGCGTTTGATTTTATCAGTCAAAGCAAGGATGTATTTAAAGATTCCCCTGGGTTCGCCTGAAAATAATTCAGTCTTTGGAGATTCTTCTGACTAGTAAGTTGGTCCATGTACAAAACACTTCGATAAGTACTTTAAGTAGGTTCTTTTCTTTTTAACATTGCATTAAAAAATTGCTGAATTATCAACGGTATTAAGGGACTGTGCAATAATTACCAGGAAGGGGGGCCGTAAAACCAGAGGGGGGGGGGACATTACATATAATTGATGGCAAGATAGGGGGGCTCAAAGTAAAATTACCTAATTAACAAGCAAAAGCCGACAAAATTGCAGAGTGGCTACACGAGTGAGGAAGTCCACAAAATTGTTGCAAAGAGTTCAACTCATTTAATTTGTCCCCAGTTTTTTCTGTGATTTTTCAGCTGTTGCATTGCGTCATCTGCGCAAGGCCGGCTAGAAGTGTGATCCCATCGCGCGCTGATGATGTTGAGAAAATTGTGTCACTTTCGCAAGCGAAAATTGGCTCGTCGAGTCACGTCTTTAAGTACACATATGCAGAGGTTTATTGTTTTCATTGGTATAGGGTACAGTCATGCATGTACATATTTTTAAGTATGTGGAGTCAGATATATACAACCTGACATAAAGAGGTCTTCAAGTATATTAGCAGTTTGACAACAATAGATTCTTTTTATGTTTTAGTTATTCCCAATCCAAAAAGAACTAAGACTAATTCTATTGCCATTCTTCAATTTACTAGAAAAGGTTCAATAAAGGTCGATGTATGCCAGAATTAACTTGCACAGCCAGCCAAACTGATGAGCATTTATCAACAAACCAAACCAAAAGTCCGGTTTCCAAGTCAGTCCAAACAGAAGGTATTACGATTGATGAAAATTCAATGTCATCTCATGCATCCAAGCTTCACTCTACTACACTAACAAGAGACACAGAGCTAGAGGATGAAAACATGGTATTTGATGTTGAATTACTTGAAGACAATGATTACATAGAAAGTAATGATAGTGATAATGACATTCAGCAACCAAGCAACATTGAAGTCAATGAAGACACTCTTCAGGCCAATCATGGTTATTCTGAAAGAGAAGAGAATTACCAAGATATTTCTGAAAATAAAAAGGATTGCTTTTCTCTCGAGAACCAGTATCAACCTTCACAAGATATCACTGAGCTCTTCATATGTATGAAGTGTAACTTGGGGTTCAAGTGTGAGAGGCACTTGGAGAATCATGAAAACATAATACACAATGGTACAAAACCTTTTAAATGTGACTCTTGTGATAAAGTGTTTGCCCATAAGAACAGTTTAAAGATTCACAAAGAAGCACACAAGAATAAAGTCAGCAGCAATCTAGAGAGAAGTGGTGTACTGCATCATACAAAGAAACAACAGGCAATTCAAACAACCGAGAAGTCATTTAAATGCACAATATGCCATAAAACCTTTAAACAAAAAGGGTACCTGAAAGTCCACATTCAAATACACAGAGGAGAGAAAGAATTCAAGTGCAATATCTGCAATAAAGACTTTGCAACAAAATCTAGCTTACAAACTCATAATCTAATACATCAAGGACAAGGGGAGAAACCACATAAATGTACAATCTGTGATAAAGCCTTTGCATACAAGAGTACTTTAAACAGTCATCATCGAATCCACAGTGCAGAGAAACCATATAAATGTACAATCTGTAACAAAGCCTTCAAACAAAAGGATACTTTAAACATTCATCAGCGAATCCACAGTACAGAGAAACCATTTAAGTGTACAATCTGTAATAAAGCCTTCAAAATGAAAAAATATTTATACAGACACCATCGAATCCACAGTAGAGACCAGAAACCATTTAAGTGTACAATCTGTAATAAAGGCTTCACACTCAAGAAATATTTACACAGTCATCATCAAATCCACAGTGGAGAGAAAGTACTTAAGTGTACAATCTGTAACGAAACATTCACATACAGGACTGATTTGAATATTCATCGTCGGATCCACAGAGGAGAGAAACCATGTGTGCAATCTGTAACAAAGCCTTCACAAGAAAGAATTCTTTAAACAGACATCATCGCCCGGGAGAGGGGGGGGGGGGACTTCCCTATAAAACATGGTAGGAATGCTCGACGCCTTTTAGGGTCGAAAATAAAACCCTCGCGTACCTTTTAGGGTCCTAAGTTGACTCCGTACCTTTTAGGGTCAATTTTCGAAGAAAAAAAAATTGAAAAAGTGTTAACAAAAAATTAGATTTTAATAACCTCAGCAATCTATGGGTATTGATTTTCTACAGTTTGTTAAACTTGAGCTTCTCTCTTGTTAAAGACGTCAAAAATGGTCTTACCTTTAAGGGTCTGGAATCGATGCCTGGATTAATTTATGCGTACCTTTTAGGGTCATTTTTCAATCCGTCCGTCGAGCATACCTACCATATTTTATAGGGAAGCCCCCTCCCCGGGCATCATCGAATCCAGAGAGGAGAGAGACCATTGAAATCTAAAATCCACAATTTCAATTTAAGTTATAGATAACTGAGTCCTAGCCTGCGTTACATCCGGTTTTATTTGCCGTTTCTTTTAAAACCGGATGTAACGCAGGCTAACTGAGTATTGAGAAGCTATTTGAATACACAATTCATCGGAGGAGTATTCTGTGCACGAATGATAAAACTTTTACTCCTCTCTGAGAGAGTGCATGAAGGTATGTGTGATGTTGAGTTATACGTTGGGTTTCCTATCAATAATAAAGTGTGTTTTCAGTTGTCAATTGCTGGTGATCAATTGTCTTAGATGAAAACTCGTTGCATCTGTAGCCTCTTCACTTTTTCCCCTAAATCTAATTATAAAGTGCGAATAGCCATATATATACGAACAGCGATGAACAACGCACACCCTTAGCCAAATCGGCGGGATAAGGGGATCGTCGCTAAAACTACCCACAAGTCACATACGACTACAATACGAGTAAAATACGACGATCGGATAAGGGTGTGCCGCCAGGACCTCAAAAACCCTGACCCTATCCCAGACTTAAAATTTCGATTTTTCAGACACTACCCCAGACTAAACCAAAGAATTATAAACCCTTTTTCGCCAACTTTCATGGGATTTACAATGTTTCATTGAATTATACGTTGGGTTTCCTATCAAAGTTATCTAAAAATTGCGTTCTCAGTTATTATTTTGTTGGTGAACAATTAATTTGTCTAAGTCGAAAACTCGTTGCATCTAGCATCTTCACTTTTTTCGATAAGTCGAATTACAAAGCCACCAATAGCCTAAAAAAATATTCGATAAAATGGAATTGCACGACCGAAAGCAGCCATCCATTTCTATGCAAGTAACAATACTGACGATCCGATAGTCGCTTTCGGTCGTGCAATCTCCCTTCGATAATCGTCGTTCTCCCCGAMTACGTTTTTTGAAAAGGTGCACATAGACGAATAATGATGAAATTGATGAACTTATACGAATTTTCAAATCGATCAAGACGTCGATAAAAACGATCACTATTGTTACTACTAGTTGCAACACTAAACGTCGTCTTGTTGTTTCGTAATTGTTTTGATTGAATCCAGGAAAATTGAAAAAAAAACAATAAAAAAATCGATTGTAATTGAGCGTTTTATTTTTTTATTTTGTAATGTTTTGATTGTGGATTTTCAGCGCTAAAACAATTTACCTTTATACCTTTAGTCTGGGGTAGGGTTAGGTAAGTAAACTCAAAGAAAAATTACATTCATATATAATCATATGATTATACAGTATATAACATCATAATCTTATCGTGTTTAAAACCTTTCACTCGTTCTACTATACGCGCGCATCCATGTAATATCCTGTCTTTATCAATTTTCAAAAATAGCTCGTCCGACTTCACGCTCCAAGAATGTCTAGTTTTAAAAGAGAAAGACTTGGTTCTAGTGTCTGGAGATTGTTGGAATCTTGACAGCTTCGCACGTGTGATTCTAACTCCATCATAGTCAACATGAAGTTTTAAACCTAAAAATCCCCTCCATCGTGTTTTCTCAGGTAAATAATATTAATTTATGACATTTGAAGCCTTGATATCGCTACGATGAGAATAATTTTAGCTGATTTTGGTGCCACGCGCGTTCAAACTTTCAGCTACAAGAACTTTGCATGTTTCATCTAGCTCAATCTGATTCCTCTCAACAACCTTGTTCAACTGAAGGCCAATGAGCTTTGTCTTTCTTTTTCTTTCACTTACAGCACATGAATAGGCTCACCTTGTTGAACGTTCGTGGCTAAAAAAGCTATTATATTTCAGGTGTTGTAATAGATGCAAAACATGAATATCAATGTCAAGACAGAACCACTAACTGTCAGTGACGACTGGTTTGCTTACCAAACYGATGCTGGARTCACTCTCTTTTACTACAACCGTAGAACTGAAGAACACATATGGAATGTCTGTACTTGTTCATGCTTTCAAATGGTAAAAAATTATTTATTATAGAGAGAATATCAACAAATCAAGCGTATTTTATTTATTTCTCAAGTGCGATCTTATTACCGCGCGGGAACAACTAGCTGGGAGGTCCGCGGTCATTTCGCTTTTGAAAATTTGGAAATTATTCCGGTTGAAAATGTGAATTCCAATAGTTTTGAGGGGCCTCGAGAATGTGCTTTTATGCAGTAAATATTGGACAAGACATTTCTGAATGTGATAATAAACGAGAACCTGACTAGTGGAATTTA